GAAGAAAGATGTTGAATCTATTTAATTATTCTTGAAAAATAATTTATTTCTGTGCATTTTTATTCCACACTGCATCAAATTAAAGTTGATTACGTTGATTAAGCATCATGAGGTGGAGCGTGGTTCCCTATTTTTTTTTTTTTTTTTTGCTGGGAGTTTGCAACCCTATTAGTTAGGTTGCTTACTCTTTAAAATACCAGAATAGGCAGGATGGAGTAGGTATAAGTTTATTAGATTGATCAGTTTTGCTGAACTATGAAATATTTTGGGCGCAGTGTATTTTTTGCATACAGTTATAACAGAATAGCTTTAGTGTTGTTGTTTATTTTAACTTGAGTATGAACTTATACGAAATGCAGCAAGATATTAAAAAAAACCGTTTTGTTGATTAAAAAACACTTTATATCGGATTCATATCGGTATTGGCAGATATCCAAATTTATGGTATCGGTATCGGACATAAAAAAGTGGTATCGTGCCATCTCTAGTTAGGTCACAAGTTGGCCTAATTTTGGTACATTATAACATTGTGTGCAAAATAGCATACCGCAAGGTACTTTGTATAGTACAGGAAATCTGTGGTCTACCAGTTCTAAAGCGAGGTTGAAAACTGCTCATGGTTATCACACTGTGCTTAAGCCAATTATTTCCTCAACATTGAGCTTTACATTTCTAATCCATATCTGTATGTCAGATTGAAGGTGTGTTTCAGCCTGATAAGTTGTAATCAGGCTGAAATTGTTTGTATCGTTATCATTTTCAGCACAGTTGATCTTTAAAGCTTCCAGACAGTCCCTGGAACGTGTGTGCATGTGTGGAGCTCTCAACCAATGTTTAACTTACAGAGGAGCTGATAGGATTTCATATTTATTCAAAGCTCCATTATTAGTTAAAATAAACTTGTATAGCAGGTTGTTTAAAGAAAGGTAATCAGAACCAAGATGGTGAAACTTGGAGAAGGTGTTTTGAGCACAGTTTACATGTGTTTCTTATGAGATGTGCATGTAAATCTCCCCCACATTTATGAAGTTACAAGAGGTGAGAATCACCGGACACCCCACCATATGATATTGTGATTTTTGTAATGTTTTGTGATACAGAACATTGTGATTTATCACCTTTTTTCAACTGCAAAGTGTTTTAATAATAATACAACAAAGTCCTCAGTCTGTCACTTCAGTCATTTTTGTTGCTGACAGGCTGAACTGTTTGTATTACATTTGAGTTTCACGTCCCTTGTTGAAAAAATCCTAAATGTGCACAGACATTTGCCTTAAACACAGATGGTGTTTTCCTGATTTCTTTCTCTGCCTCCATCCTTGTTTTCCCAACATTATCCCACATGCTGGCCATCACCTCTGCTGACCTCACTAAAGAAAAAACTCAACTGTAAAAGCAATTAATGTTGTTATTCTTGTACAAAAACAAATTATAACATGTACATATATGTATATGTACAGTGATGTGTTGAGGAGGGTGAGAGTGGCTTTGTTTGTTTTTCCAGTACAATAAGGTTATTCATTGTAGAGTGACTCCTTCTTATGACAGACTTCAGTGACAATAACACAAGTGAGAAACCACAGAGCCGTCTGTTATCAGTCTGCAATTGAACTGTGATAAATGATTGAAAATCACATTTCTCTTGTTGTCTACATATATATTCACATTTTTGCTCAGCAAACTTCCTGTTTTAGAGAAATATAACCAAAGTACAACCAGCTGATAGCCCGTTGAGTTGAGTCCCCTGGAGCTGTGCTAACTGACAAAGACCCTTTCAGACTGATGGCAACATGTTGGTGATCTCTCTGCATTTATAAATGAGACACAATTATTATCAAACCGTGAAAGTCTCTGTGAGAGTGACTGTAGAAATATTACATCCTGTTATGTGATCTGTGACCAAAAGTGGTCGTCGAAGTATGTGAAAAAGATTCAGTGCCATCACCAGAATGCCACAGATTTTTTTTTTCTTTTTAAAAAGAACATTTTGTGTGCGTGTCAAGTGTCCCTGTATCGATGAAACATCACTACTCCATCTGTGTTGTGATACTGTGCTGTATTGATTTTTTCCCCCCTTACGGCAGGTGAAAGAAAGCATTCTAACACTGATATCTTTAGTTTGTATGCACTTGCACTTCAATCATTATGCAGGTCAAAGCTGATCTGCTGTCCTCGCTGCTCGTTTTCTGTGTCTATGTTTTGTTTTAAACTGAGCTCAGCTTAAGCTGGTTCACATGTCTGTGCTCCCTCTCTCCCTTTCTGCAGGTGACATGATGATGGTGCTCATCTACATCTCCAGCTGTATACGTGATGGAGGCTGAGGATTGAGTGGATGATCAGGCTGCTGATGTGTGTTTCATTGGTGTAGTTTTCACAGCATCAGGTCCTATTTGTGTTTGACTCTGAAAACCATCAAACTTCACAATCACATGGGGTTTTTTTGTTTTGTTTTTTTGCTGCAGGAGCTTCACTCTGAATCCTGACCTCCTCCTTCTGCTTCAGTGGTTTCTGACTTCATAATTTGGTCACCATGGCAACCATAGAGATGATTGAGGTCCCTAATTTGACTTTCTGAGGTCAGTCGTCACTGTTAATGTTTATATTTTGTTAGATTGTTAAAAGTTAGCAGGCTGTTACATTTTGTATCGTGTTTTGGTGTTTGTCCTCTAATATATCAGGTGGATGAAACCAATTGAAGAACTTTCCCCTCTTTAATAGACAAGTTGGTCCAGCCCAAACAGCTGTTAAATCACAGTAACATTGATCAATATTTAGAGACAGATGAGTTATTTGTGCAGCACTTTTGCTGTAGATGAACAACGTGTGTGCTGATGGATCAATTTTGATTAATAAATGTTGAGTAAATGCTGGAAAAATACAATATGAATCTTAATCTTCACTGTTGTACATAAATCAGTCAGCTCCATATTAGTATTGAAGTGTGGAATGAAATAGGCTGGTTACGTTAAATCATCCCAGGATGTGGCTTAAATGTGTCTCTCCTCTTGGAGTCTCAGACTGAAGTCGATGAAGCAGAGATCAGGACCCTCATAATCTTTGAATGCATTTCCACAGGTCTATAAAATCAGGCATCCAGTCATGCAGTTACAAACCTTTGTGATAAATGGGTCGGCTAGCTGAATTCAAGTGTAGTGTTATAACAGATGCCACCACTTGAATAGGTTCAGAGAGCACAGGGGAAGAAGCTGTTTGTGAATGCAACGCCTCAGATGAAGCTGCCAATGTTACAACAATAGTAGCCAATGATGGATATTTCAAGAAGCTCTATTGAGCCCATTAGAGGAGGCATCTTAATCAAAATGTTCACATCATCCTTTCCTGTGGTACACTTGTAAAACAAACACGGTATACAGACTGATAATACACCTGGCTTATCTACGCTGTGATACCTGCCATTATGAGTAAACTGTGTCTAAAGGAATATAACTTAATGAAGCGGGGAAGATAAACATCAGTGCTGCATTTATGCCGCCTCTCACACAGGATGTCAGTGCATCATGACAGATTCCAAGTGTCCTGCAACAGCAGGAAGCTCTTGCAGGAGCCTGCTTTAACATCAGCTACAAGGCCAGAACAAGTATTTCACGGGCATCAGAAAGTGGAGCATCAAAGGCGTCAAAGCGCCTGTTCAATTCCTCTACTCTTCATTGTTCCTGGCAGTCTGCATACAGTGGGGTATAAAAGCCATCCACGGCTCGCAAAATCGCTAGCCCAACGTCCCGGGGCTACTGATTTTTTTTCTTTCTTTTTTTTTAGTCAGGCTACCAAAATCCATCTCGGCTCTGCCCGTCAGGCTATCATAGGAAGGAAAAATATGTCAATGCTCGATTTCTGAGTCGACAAGCGCCTTTGTTACTGGGACCAGTCATTTTAAGAAAGACCCCATCAGAACCCATGAGAAATGCAAGAAAATACCAACTACCATTGGCAAAATTTAGTAATCTTTGCAAACTTCAAAAAGCAAATGGCCTAGATCTTGGTTCCACTTGCCTCTTACCCGTGACTTCAGTGTAAATTTCAAATTCAGGATCTGACACAGACTGATTCATGTCCTTCACAGTTCTTAGGAGTTCATAGAAATTTCTGTTCAATTAGAACCAAATATTTGAGTTGATGATTGTAATTTTTATAGAGTTGATGTAATTTGTGTTTTAACTACTTTTTGATTGGAGTTTTGTTTCCTTTACAATATTATACTTTAATGAATAAAATTGTAAAGGAAATAAAACATCAATCAAAAAATTGTCCCCTTTTTTTTCCGGCTACTTAAATTTATTTTGGGCTACCAAAACTGAAGAGTGCCTGCACGAAGGGCTACCAGGGATTTTGAAATTTTGAGAGCCCTGCCATCCATGTATAGAAAGACAG